GGCTGGCGCCTTAGCCACTTGAGCCACAGGCGCCGAGCCCTGACTTGACCTTTTAAAGTGCTGAGATTATAGGTCTGGGCCACCACATCCAGTTTTCTCTGTTCTTGTTTACAACAAAACTCCTGCTGAGGCTGTCTGCCTCCTTCACCCTGAACACCCTGAATACTTTCTCCTGAACACCCACTCCCGGGAGTGGGCCCTACCCACTCCCACCTCCTCAATACACTGGTCAATTATTGGGTCTTTTCTTTCTCTTATTTTATTCTTTTCTTTCTTTTCTTTTTTTTTTCTTTGAGACAGAGTCTCACTATGTCACCCTCGATAGATTCCTGTGGCGTCACAACTTACAGCAACCTCACACTCTTGGACTTAAGCGAGTCTCTTGACTCAGCCTCCCAAGTAGCTGGGACTACAGGCACCTGTCACAACGCCTGGCTATTTTTTTGTTGCAGTTGTTGTTTAGCAGGCCCAGGCTGGGCTTGAACCCGCACCTGGCTTTTTGGAGACAGGATTTCGATCTTGTTCTGGCTGTTCTGGAACCTATAACCTCAGGCAATCCATTTACTTTGGCCTCCCAATTGCTGGCTCACTCCCAGAATGAGAAACCTCACCTGGCCTCTTGGGCCTTTTCTTAACTTGACCTTTGGCACCAGGTCCCTCCTGGAAAGGCTCAGCCAGGTTACTGTTCCCCAAGTCTCCTCCCACCCTTCTGCTGGAGCCTCTGCTAGTGGTGGCTTCTCTTCCAAGTCCCAGTGGCTTTCTGAACTCCCGCTGATAAACACACACACACACAATCTTCCAACAAGCCTTCCTCAGCTATGCTTTTCCCTATCTCAGTGGGTGCCAACTCCATCTTTCCAGCTCACCCCCTCGTCATCCCGTTGCTCTCAGAGGAAGAGCCAAGTCCCCACCAGGGCCCAGACCCCCAGGATCTGGGACCCCTTCCTATCTGCCCTCTCCACTACCCTCTTGCGGGCTCACTCTACCCTGGCCATGTAGCCTTTTTGTAGCCCCTCTCCCAGGAGCAGCTTCCACAGACATCTGCTAAGCTGGTACCTAACTTCCTTTGAGTCTCTGCCTGATAGTCCTGCCACCTATCTCCCAGGTGACTCTCTTCTTTATCCCCAGTATGGGTGCCCAGAGTCCCATGGCCATTGCTGGGGCATGACAGAGGACAGAGGACAAGGGTGAGGGGAGCAACCAGGCAGGAATGAGCAACAATCCCAGCATCAACGTCACCCAGCCCCTCCTTCTGCAGGTAGATTGAGCTCCTAGGTGGGAACCTGCATCCTGGAAGCTGGTTCCAAATCCAGGTTGGGAAGGCAGAAGGGGGCCCCTGAGCAAGTTTGCAGGGCAGGGCCTGGGTTCTCTTTGTGGGTAGGGAAGGAGAAGGAGCCTATCCCTAGGAGGGAGGCCTTGGGCCCATCCCTCACCCTCACCCTCATCTGGAACCTAGTTTAGCCCCAACTAGGGAAGGGGAGATGTAGCTCCCACAGAGGGCTGAGAGCACTGGGGTCACCCATGGGCCTTGAAAACCTCCCCTTGACCTTGCCAATTCCCCCCGCTGGTGTCCATGGAACTTTTCTCAGTGGCAAAGTCCTGGCCCTCCTCAGAGACAGTGGGGGCAGGTTACTGGGATGGTACCCCAGGCCCCTAGCCTGCGCAGCCTTGGAGGGCAGAGGGAGCTGTTCTGGGGAACAGGCAGACGTGCCTGGATCACCTGGGACAGATGCAGAGTGTTCTGAAATTCACTGACTGTTCCCTTCCAAATTTCCCCATGGCCTCTCCAGACTCAGGCACACAGTGGGCTGAGTGAGTGAGTGAGTTGGTGAGGGCCCCTCAGGAGTGCTGAGGCCAGGCCAGCCTCTTGGGACCCAAGTTCCATCCCCCAGGGAGGACAGGGCTACTCTTTCCCCCACCTCTCCCGTCCAGGACTCCTAATCATGATGGGTTTCAAGGGCTCCAGAGGCCAGGCTGAATGTGACCCTTGGAAAGGGTGGGGCTGACACTGGGAAGGGCACTGGGGCAACTAAGGAGAGTCCTTTCTACTCCTCAGCAGCTTCCACGGTTCCTAACTTTTTCATAAAGATTTCATATGATTTTATAATCATAAACACTATTCCCAAAATGAAAAAACTTTAACTGGCTGGGTGGCGTCTGTAGCTCAAAGGAGTAGGGCACCAGCCCCATATACCAGAGGTCAAACCTGCAAAAAATAAAATAAAATAAATAAAAATTTTAACTGGCTGTAAAAGAGACATAGGCTTACCGTAAAACCTGAGCCGTACAGAGCAGTGTGGGGAAAGGTGAAGGCTTTTCCCAAAATCCCAGCGGGGCAGGCAGAATGTGCATGCTGAAGTAGACAGACTTCAGGAACCCAAGGGCCAAGTGCAGGGTGTCTCCCTGGCTGCTCCTCTGCCTTTTGTGAGTGGGGGTGGAGTGGGGTGGCCAGGGGCAGCAGAGGGCAGAGAAAGCACCCAGGGCCCATCCTAGCCCCCCAGGCCAGGTAGCTCTGCACAGTGGTGCCAGGTTACCCTCTGGTTTTGTTGGTAAAGTCCTTTGATAACACTTTCAGGTAACCTGACATTATTTTTTAAATTATTAATTATTATTATTATTTTGAGACAGAGTCTTACTATGTCGCCCTCTGTAGAGTCCTATCACAACACAGCTCACAGCAACCTCAAACTCCTGGACTCAAGCAATTCTCTCACCTCAGCCTCCCAAGTAGCTGGGACTACAGGCACCCGCCAACAAATATTTTTTTGTTGCAGTTGTCATTGTTGTTTAGCTGGCCCAGGCCTGGTTCAAACCCGCCAGTCTCCGTGTATGTGGCTGGCGCTGTAACCACTGTTACACCCACTGATGTGGGTGCTGAGCCCTGACATCCTTTAGATGAGAGGCAATTCATGCACCGTGTGGTTCAGGAGACTGCTGTAGTGGACAACGGTCCCACTTCAGCTTCCCCTTCTGGGAGGACAACTTGCTCATCCAGACCTACACTTGGGACTGGGAGTGGGTGTCTTGCACACAGAGCCTGTGAGCTTGGGCCTGGGCCTTCCTCCCAGATGTGAGCCCAATCTGGGTGGGGTGATGAGGACCCCACACCTCTGTCAGAAGAAAGGCCCAGATGTTTGGTGACCCAGTGGTCATGGGAGGGGCTGCTGGCAGGTGTTTCCTTTTTGTGT